AGTTGTTTCTGGCTTCTGGGAATGTAAAGTGCTTCTGTTCGCTTTAGTCTCATGTGGGATAATTACAGCAGGGGTTTGAATTTTTCGGAATTTTGAAGCCAGCAATGACTGGACTTCGAGAAACAGGTTCTTTGAATTTCTTCAGGCTCGATACTTCATGGCAACGTGCTCTTTCCGATTTTCTCTCCTTCGGAAATCGGAACAGACGGGCAGATTTCGCTCAACATCTGTTTGCCACCATTCGGTAGCCATCCGTTAGCGGATTATGCATAACAGTGTAGTTATCGTGACCGGTGAACAGTAGAGGATTTCCGGCCGGGTGATCCCATACAATACAAAGGTGTAGGGGAGTGGTGCTGATGGTCCGACGCCACTATCGTCACGTTAATCTCTAATTACTCGACCTTCGGCCATTATTTGTCTGGCTTTGTCATGATGACAGCAATATTTGTCTCACACCCACCGTACTACCACTGCTACTACTACTACCATATGTAACAGGTCAGTCTGATAATCGAAGCCCCATTCTGGCCCCAATATCTCACCTCCCGTCAAACAAAGCAACAATGCATGAGATGACAGTGACATGCTGAGCATGAGAATGAGCAGAAGTGGGATCAACAGCAATTAGGATGGTGTCGCAGCTCTTTCAATTCCATCATAAGCCGGAAATACACAATGCGCCAAACAATCCCGAATACTTCGCAGTAATACTTGAGACGTTCCCTTCCATGGAATCATAACGTCAATTTCTAAAAGGGTTCAGCAGACCTCCCATTTAGTATGAGTCAGCTAATCGGCGTTATCTAATCAGAACATGTGTTCAGACTCGAGAAGTCAATCAAAAGAAATCGCCTTTGTTCTGAAGTAACGGCACTATCTGAGAAATATAACCAGGACTGACTTTTACAACGACGTACAGTATGTTTAGCAGCCTGTAGTATACCTGCAGTAATATAGTATATTTGTTATAATATGGCCTGGTTGTACAAAAAGTCCGAGAAACCAAAAAATCTACTAGTAGTATGAAAACAGTTAAAAAAGCGTCTTGGAGTTATTCGCGGTCTATACGCAATAATTTTACGGTAAGGATTTTAGGGCATGAGTGGTGTAGTGGTTAGTGGTGCACTATCACGAACGCATGGTTTCGCAGGATCAAATCCCAAATCAGGCCAGCCAAGCCTTCCATTCCTCTGGAGTCGGTTGATCAGCACAATAGCTATCTGGAAGGGAGAAACAATGATTTGTAAATCGGCTAGTCACCTTAGGTCACTCACTGGCTGAGTCTCGTAGAAAGTTTGAGTTAGAGAAATTAAACATAGCAGTATTAAGGAGATTAATCGATAATCGATAAATATAATAGTATAAACAGATCAGCCTGATATGTAGTAGATGCTCCTTTTTGGCTCTAAATGCTAAAAATTTGTTACTAATAGCTAGTTCTTAGAACAGTTTGATTTCAACCTTTTCAGATTTTGAGTGAAGGAAGTTTTCTCGATAAATTCGCTGAACTTTGAAACATTTCAAAATTAGAAACTGGAAATTAAATTTAATTCCTTCGAAAATGAAGACGTAAATTTTGACACGC